TTTTTTTTTTTTTTTACAGTGCACACTGGTATCTTGACAGACTGAGCACATTACTGAAATTTCTTCGGAAACTCTTATTGTGTGGTCTTTTTATCAGGAGAGAGGTCTCCATTAGGTCTCCAGGTAACTTAATTGATATCTAGTAGAAATTATTGAGAAATAGAAGAGCTCTCATATGGGATTTGTCTTTCCTGAGGCAATGAAACACACGGCAAGGGATTTTGAAGCAGTCCAAACACACTACTGTGTGATTCTAACTGATCTGATCTCTGAGATATGGCAGAAGGGGAGAAAGTGTCTCCCTCTGGAGGAGGAGCTTGTAAAGCGTGCTGCAGTTCTCCAGTTCCCACCAGTTTAGCTTTCTCCGCTTATCTTGATGAAGACAAATGAACAACACATTCTAGCGTCTAATGTTGCAATCTCATTTGAGAACATCTGCATTTATAAATGTGACATGCATTAGTTTTATCACCTATTTGGCAAAGTGGAGAAAATCCATAGTTATTTAGAGAAGATTAATTGGGTTGGAAATGTACGCCAGCGCCTATTTGAGAGATAATACACAAATGTTTAATTCATCCTCTGGTTCAGTAGATGGGAAGGTTATATGGATCTATTTGACCATAAATCCTCTGAAAGAGCATAGGCTAATGATCAGTGAATTATACTTATCAGACTCCATAAGTGCTTAATCTAATAAATGTATGTCTCAGAGGAAAGATATTGGAATTCCGATCATGATGGATGCCGCCTCGCCATTTAACCTTGGGCAGAGTCCAAGCTGGTTGAAATCAGGACCCCAAAGGAGAAGCGATCATTGTGATCATTCTCACATTTTGAAAAAAGAGAAATTTGTAAGGGTGTGAGAACGTTAATATTCATTTGAATTCACTATGCACTACCAGAGTCATAGAAATTAAAGTACACCCTTAAGAATCACACATAAAGTCTGTAATAACGCCATTTATTGATTTATCATGTTTTTCTTTCTAAAAAGCAGCGATTTTACACTACTGTCATGTAGAAATATCGGTGTGAACTTGGTACACTGTAACCATATGAGACTCCAGAGGATTATAAATCCTATTCAACAGACTCCTAAGGAGGGAAGGGTCGATGACACCATTGTGCAACAACGTCAAATGGATTAAACAATCCTTGTAAGGCCTTTCGCCTGCAACCTTCCAACACTTTCCTGTGTTGATGGGTTCACACTTGAAAACATGCAACACTGTCTTTGAGGTGAAACAAACCACTTTTGTTCTTCGATTGTTGTCACATACTAACTCATAAGGAAACGGTTCAGACTAATTTCCATGCGATCTACAGGAAGGCGAACTATCACTGTGTAGTTGGTCTTTCTGTGGTCTAGTTCAAATCTCTGTGCCGTCCTTTTCTGCTCTTCCAGATCCAGACCAGTGTTGTGTAACGTAGCCAAGTCTTTTCATCATGCATGTTGGTCTGACTAAGGATATCAGCAGATTGGCTGGGCTGCTGGGAAAATCCATTGTGACTGTTTCTTTGGGAATGCAACTTCTAAGGTGGTTGCACTACTGGGTGCTTCTTTTATCTGGCTCACGTTGCTCATATCTGAAGAGCTCTTACCAAACAATTTCTGACTCAGTCTGTTCTCACCCTGATTTACATAAATCTGAATACTCAGAGTCATCTGAAAATGCAACAACTGAAGCAGAAATGAATCTTGCAAAAGGATCTCTGTACAGGGATTTTTTTCCCCGTCTTTTACTAATGATTATTTTTTTCCTCAGTCATAATTTCTCCGTCGTTATGCATTATGCTTAGCAAGACAATTAGAAAATCACCTTCAAGAGAAGCCTTTGAGTAAAACATTTTAATGAAGAAATTACTCTATATCTTAACTTCTATATTCATAGTACATAATTCTTTAAACCTAACAATAAATGGGCATCAATGAAGAATCATTTGTCGAAAATACACACCAAAGATTTTTTTTCTTCTTTTTCTTTTTTTTCTTTTTGAGGTAAATCATTTTTGTTTACATTGGTCAAGACATCGACAAAGTTACACATAGTAAAAACAATCAAACAATGAAATGAAAAATAAAAACATAAAGCAATTACACAAACTTTAGAATTAATACTCATTCAAAGAAAACATCTTTTTTTCTGAGATAGAGAGCTTCAGTGGTCTTAGTAAAAACTAATATGCCTACTAGATTTCTACCCAGTGGAAAGGCAAGTTAATTATGAGGTTTGAGAATGGCACCCCTCAGACACAACAGAGCTCCTTTGGCCACTTGCCGTGGGAGATAATCAGAGAGAGTGGTCATAGTCTGTTAGTGTCTGCACGTCGCTGGTGCAGTGGTCAAAAGCATAGCCCTCTTTCACCGGGACTCCGAGTGCTTTAGTATGGTTAGTGGAGCCGGCGAAAGGAGGTCACAGCTGGAATGGGTGGAGGCAGTTAACTGTGGCGTGGATGTGGAGCTGCTAGTGGACGCCGGATGGAGATGAAGGGTAGTTCATGAGAACAGCCTACGAAGATGCAGGAGAAGAGGTGCTCCAATGCAGAAGTGACGGGTGGTTACTGTGTGGTGTTTTACCACTATAGACAACCAAAGGATAATGGCTAGTGGTTAACCTCAGAGGAAGACTTCCCGCTGTTAGGAACGTACATATTTGTACTTTAGGATTTCTTCCCTGACATCTTCATTGTAATGGTTTTCACCTCTGTATACTCTTTCAGTCCGATCTCACCCCTGGAAAATGGAGAACAGTGATGTTAATGGAAACACAAATGTATGGAATATGCAATTGTGATGTTATATCATTTTAAAATGCACTTACAGTTCACGACCATTGCCGGACATTTTGAATCCTCCAAAAGGACACTGGCAGCTCAGGGCATTATAACAGTTGATCCTGCACAACAAAAAAATACATCTCACAATCTTAGCGATTTCATGATTTCATTAACTTTTTCTATGTGGAAAAGTGCAGTCACGGGATTTCAGTTCATTCGCCTCACACAAAATTACAGATCATGTGGATTCCTTTTTAAATCACTGGATTTAAATAAATGTCACTACACTGCAAAACGTATTTTCTTGCTCAGCATTTTTGTCTTACAGTACAAATATCTGAACATTCTTAAATGATCCCCTTAGCATTCCTGTAAAATTAGCCTAAAACGCCTAAAAAAAGGCATACCCAAAGTAAATTGCATGCTGTTCTTGAACCATTTGGAGTAAATGCATGGTTTTGGTCTCTTTTGAAAGGTGATACTCTGAGGTTGAAGAAACCTCAGAATCACTGTAAGTCTTACTGGTATTGAGTAATAGAACTTTGAACACACTGAAAAAGGAAAAAACATTCCCCCTACATTTTTTTTTTTTTTTTGTAAACAGATTTCTGCAGATGAATATAGCTGGGAGCTATTAGCTGGACAACACAATGGTTAAAAATGGTTTGCATCATTTGAATCACAAGAATCTCAGCTTTCCAAAGATATGTGATATGTTTAGCTTTTTGTTTTTTTTGTTGTTGTTGTTGTGTGTCACAAACTGGTTAAGAAAATGTACTATTATGTCTTGTTTCTACCAATGGGGTAAAGAAAATAAATTAAACCAGAAAACAAGCATGAAGTCCTTTAATTTTGAAAAATCTTTTAGAAAACAAGACTGTACGTCTTATGCCATTTTGCTTCTCAAGTAAATGTATCTTTATTTAAGAATGTTTGGATATTTCAATGAAATACAAGACAAAAAATACTTGTTTAGAAAATTATTTTTTGCAGTGCACACATTAAGGTGTGCATATAACTCAATGATATTAGGGCCAAAAACAAAACAAGTGGATGGCATTTGTGTTTTATTTTGTGTGAGGATCTGTTGATGTGATATAACTCTTACCAGACAGTGCCGGCCTGCAGAGCTGCAGAGACAGTCATGGCCTTGTTGAGGTCTGTGGTGAAGACGGCTGCTGCCAGACCATACTCTGTGTTGTTGGCTCTCTCAATCACTTCTTCGATAGTTTTAAACTTCATGATCTGCTGAACTGGCCCAAATATCTAAAACAAAGTTGTTGCTTTTTTTATTATAATACTTTGACTCAGTATTTAAACATTTGAAATTAGATTCATTATTCAGAGATCAAGAAAGCTTACCTCCTCCTTGGCAATGCGCATGTGGTCCTGTACATCAGAAAAGACTGTGGGCTCCACAAAGAAGCCTTTAGAAAGGGGAGCTTTGCCGCCACACTCCAGTTTAGCTCCCTCAGTGATGCCGCTCTGAATCAGCTCCAGTACACGTCTCTGCTGCTCTACACTCACCTGTCACAGTCAACACAGAGATGATCAACTACTGAATCCTGTGTCTTTATTTACTCTGACAACTGGAACAGGCATAGACATTTTAAAAATAATAAATTGGGTAGATTATGCAGATAATGTCTTGTTTGATTATTAATGTTTCATTGTACAGATTTTTGTTTCAATTCTGATGGCACTCACATTTCATTTAATAATATGACATGTATTTTGAGATAATACTGTAAGATATTATTGTAAACATATTCCTTTAGATATATGACCCTGGACCACAAAACCAGTAATAAGGGTCAAGCTGAATAAATAAGCTTTCCATTGATGTATGGTTTGTTAGGCGACTTAAGATTGGTTTTGTGGTCCAGGGTCACATATATATTATACACTACCATGCAAAAGTTTGGAGTTGTTAAGATTTTAAATGTTTAATGTTAATTAAAGCAGTCTCTTATGCTCTAAGGCTGCATTTATTTGATTACAAAATATAGTAAAAACAGTAATACTGTGAAATATTATTACAATTTAGAATGTTTTCTATTTTAATATGATTACAAATTTAATGTATTCATGCACGGGCAAAGCTGAATTTTCAGCAGTCATTACTTCAGTCTTCATTGTCACATGATCCTTCAGAAATCGTTCTAATATGCTGATGTGCTGCTCAAGAAACATTTCTTATTATTATCGGGTTGCTGCTTAATATTTTTGTGGAAACAGTGATGCATTTTTTTCCCAGGATTTTGTGATGAATAAAAAGGAACAGCATTTATTGGAAAGAGAAATCTTTTGTAACATTATAAATGTCTTTACTGTCTCTTTTAATCAATTAAAAGTACATATAAAAAGTACATTTAAGTTTATGATTACTTTTTGTTTTTGCTTTAAAAAAAATCTTACTGAACCCAGACTTCTGAACAGTAGTACATATGAATTATTTATGATATTTAAGCAGTTAACTGGCTCTTACCTGAGGTCCCTGCTCAGCGGTTGGGTCAAAGGGATTTCCCACTGTCCTTCTCCGCGCTCTCTCAACACTCCTTCGCACAAACTCATCATAAATGGTCTCCTCCACGAAGATACGGGAACCAGCAGTGCAGCATTGACCATTATTGAAGAAAACACCCTGATGGGCCTGTTCGACTGCCAGCTCAACTGAGAAAGAGAGAGAAAACACATTATTAAACATCTGCCAGCAATGCACTATTGTTTAAATAAAATAAATAACAGCCCAAACAACAGGTGATAAATGAGGAATGTATCCCCTACATGCCAGTAAGTCATTTATTAATAGACTTGGAGCCATACATTTCTAGTTAGGCAGCTGTAACAAATTTCTCTCCTGTTCTTCTGGGGTGTCTGCTGTTTATGCATGCATACACTTGAGTATGTGCATCTGCGTGAGATAATGGACACCTGGGAAAAGGGTGGCAGGCTGTGGCATTTGAAGGGTTAATGGGAGCCGGCAGATTTACGGCTGTGGTGTGATGCGTCCTGGCAGGGTCCATTCGGCTGATTTACGGGGGGCCGTGCTCACGGCTGCTGAAAACATTTAAAAGCTCTGATTTCTGCCTTGGTTTGGTGGGCTACTTTGAGACAATAAGGATCAAGGGTTTAGGAAGTGAGATAAGCTCATTTGCATGAATATGGGCCTCTCGGAAACACAAGACACTCAGTTTTTTGCCCAGACGCAGCTCTAAAAGATCCCTGAAGGTCTTTGATGTCAAGTGACACAGAGAGAGTCTCTGGAGTAGCACCTGTGCACAAACTGTTGCAGCGGGACAACAGGAGGGCAGCCGTAAAACAGCGTCTGAATACTTACAATCAGCATCTGCAAAAATGATGTTGGGACTCTTTCCCCCAAGCTCTAGCGTGACTCTCTTCAGATTGCTCTTTCCTGCTGCTTCTTGGATCAGCTTGCCTACCTGTGGAGAGAGAGAAGAGCCACTTTAATCAGCAGGACTTCACAGAGGATCCTTACTAAATCTCAACATCAGTGGGATGCTGTCATTAATAAATCCTGCTGCATGAGAAGCCCCTCTTCAGCAAGGCAACCAGCACCAGCACTATTATCAGGCCCATGAGATTCGGCTCACATATCTTAAATATCTGTGCATACGGTGGCAGCTAGAGAGAATGGAATGTCCAACACACAACAGTATCTGTCGGTTAATCGAGAACAGGAAGAACTGACCGCAGGTTTGTGTAGGATGTTCAACACTGTTTGGAGCCACAAAATAACTGGAAATAAGATCCTTGAAATGCATTTATTGGCTTTGTTAGTGCATAAATGAAAGCATATGTAGTGATTATTGGTCTGGTTTTGGTTTCTCTGAGCTTAAGGAGCATGTTTCTTTTTTTAACAGGAGTCTACTGTTTCATAATTTCATGTCCTGTGCTGCTCTTCCCTGAATCTGTTCTCTTCCAACTGTATTTCACACTTCTTTTCACCTAAAGTTTCACATTAGCGGTGGACTGGCTCTCATCTTACAGGCTGTTCAGGCCTGTGTAATCACTGCAGACATCACACAGCTGCTGTCTGGGGCTTTGCTTCACATCACAGAGAACATTATGCTCACGTCAAACTATTCTTTTCTACCTGCACGTGTGTGTGTGTGTGTGAGAAAGACCGTCTCACTCTTCACAGCCAGCTCAGTGCTTTAGAGGCTGGCGAGCAGCACTGCTAACCATAAACAAACATTTGTACATTTTACCTTTCCACAAAACATACTTACTGACAGTGAATCTGTTTTCCATCAGATAGCAGAAAGAGAAAGGGAGAGGGGAGAAGACGAAGGGAAAACAATCCTCCTCAGTTCCCTCTGACACTCTCGCTCAGTGGAAAAATGGAAGCTGGGCTCTTTGCACGAATGTAAATGCCTACTTCTCACAGATACTATACCTATATGAGTGCTGGTCTCAGTTTTGGAGGCTACTTTAGTTTTTCAAGCTACAAGATCATCATAATTTGAAGTAGTTACGCTGTAATAAAGCTATTCTTTTGAAAAAGAGGTCAGCTACACTATAAGCTACTAACATAAACTTAAGGTGGCAGTGCCTTTTTAAATATACACAACTGCTGCTCAATAGTTTGGGGTCGGTAAGATTTTTTGTTTTTGAATGAAGAGTATTATAAGTATTATAGTGTCACCAAGACTGCATTTATTTGATCAAAAATACTGTAAAAATAGTAATATTATTACAATTTAAAATAACTTTTCTATTTCAGTACACATTAAAATGCTATTTATTTTTATGATTTTCAGCAGCCATTACTTCAGTCTTCAGTGTCACATGATTTTTCAGAAATGATGCTAATATGCTAATATTACCACAGTTTAAAACTGTTGTGCTGCTTGATACTATTGTGGAACTGATTTATAGGAAGATAAAAAAACAGCATTTATTTGAAATACAAATTTTTTATAACAGTCTTTGGATGTCACTTTTGATCAATTACATGCATCATTGAAAGTATTCATTTATATATAAAAAAAAATAAAAATCCTGACTATGTAGTGTAGAACTATCCAATGATAGCCTATAATTCATAATTAACACTTTTTTCTGTTTTCGAATGAATAAATTAATAATATCTTAACTTGAACTGATACATTTACACTAAATACATATATAGTATTCACTGATATAAAAAAAAGGTTATAAAAACTGTGTGTGTGTGGGGGGGGGGGGACTAAAATTGCCATGTAGGGACACGAATCAGTTAATTTACAAGAATTGTCAAAATTAACCAATTCATTCTAATGAACTAATTTTGTGTAGTGCTAATTCATTGGGAAAAAGTTGCTTAAAAACAGCTGAGCTGTTGTCACAAAATGTTAAGTTACTAGTGCCGCAATGTTTAGTTACACCTGGTTTGTCTGCAGTCATGACCTTAATTTGTGTATACTACAATATATATTGTTGTTATTATTAATATTAATAATAAATAATAATAAAAATAATGATAAATGTATAACATTTTTTAAACCACTTAAAAAAAAGGTTGATAGTGCTTTTTGATTCATACAAGATGAAAAAGAAATCACACTGCACACTTGTCACAAAGGGGCTATACTCCACAAATAGCAGCAATGGGCAGGTCATATACCACGCACCAGAATGCCTCACTCCCCCCACCCCCACCCCCCGGCCTAGTCCTCCCTTCTGAAGTGACTCAGAGTCTGTGTATGTACACACACGCACAGCATGAGAGATCTGGGCTGCCTAATCAAGTCCAGATTAGAGCTCAGCAACACCCACAGCAGCGGTGCTGACAGGAGGAGAAGAGCAAAACCCTGTGTGACCACTGCCAGTGAAGAGGAAGGGCAAGAGGGTGGGGTGTATAGTGATGAGTTTCCTGTGAAAGTCAGTCAGTGGAAGTGTGGGTGAAGACGGGTGGGTTGGGACCATTTTCAGCGTGACGCTATGATCATCTGAGGATTTGTGTGGCCTGTTGATGTTTCTTTCTCAGTCACTGCATTCTTGTTTTATCATTGACATTTTGATTTAAAGGAAAGAAATAGTCATCGCAGTCATCAAAATAGCCGAGAACTGGGAAATTACTTAACTGTCATTTCCCACAAAAAGAAACATCTGTTGCATTTCAACAAGTGCTTTTCAAGGACACAAGCTAGTTTGTTTTCTGTTGAAACAACACTTCTGTTTGTGTGAGAAGTCTTATGTCCACATACAGACACACACACAATTCTCTGTTTCTTTAACAATAAAGATAAACACGAAGTACATTTACAATACCGTTCAAAAGTTTGAGGTCAGTAAGAGTTTGTAATATTTTTGAAAGTATTCTTTTATGCGCACCCAGGCTGTATTTATTTGATCAAAAACACAGTGAAACAATATTGTGAAATATTACAATTTACCATAATTGTTTTCTATATTAATATATTTTTAAATGCAATGTATTCCTGTGACGGCAAAGCTGAATTTTCAGCAGCCATTACCTCTATATCTTTAATGTCACATGATCCTTCAGAATTTATGCTTATTTATTGCTCAAGAAACTAAATTATTCGTTTCTTGTTATTATTACTATTATTATTATCATCAATGTTGAAAACAGTTGTGCTTCTTAAAATGTTTGTGGAAACGCTGATGAATAGAAAGTTCAATATTTATTTATTTATTTTAAGCAATTATTTGAAATATAATTTTTTGGTCACATTGTAAATGTCTTTACTGTCATTTTGAGCAGTTTATGAATTCTTGCTAAATAATTAATTTCTTTAAAATAATTTACTGACCCCAAACTTTCGAACGGCAGTGTACATACACTTTAAAAGTTCAGTAAATAACTGAAATCATTACAGTTTGGTTTTTGCAAAGCCAGACTAACAGATCCAGATAACGTGGTTGTATGCATCATGTGCTTTTTTCAGAAGACAGGTAATTTGTGTATTTAATCCTTCATATATTCATGTATTCTTGGACAGACAGATGAAGACTGTTGCTCCACTACGTAAAAACTGCTGTAACTCGATTATAACTAGGCATGTAAACTCACTTTTCCGGTGAAGCTAATGGCATCATGAGCTTTAGCTCTGTCTATTCTAAATCACAAAATTCACCTCAATTAATAACAAAACACATGCTGCATGTGTAAGAACAGATCAAAACATACACTGAAATATTTCGATTTATGAAAGGCTGTAATTGAATAAAGGGCTTAAGGGTTCTTACCAGCGAGGCAAGTGTAGCTAGAAATAATCACTGTTTAAAATACGCTGTCACAGCAGAGTTATGTCACCGTCAGTGAGGCCTGTTTTCAAGCGCTAAGTTCTCTGTGCCTAACATGGTGCCTATTTTCAGTCCCTGGCTTTCTATTAAATTTATACAGTTGGCTTCAAAGAGTAATTTTTCCTCTGGGGCCACAATGTAGCTGTCTAATGTCTGATGCATGGAGCTCAATAGAAAGGGTAGTCATTATACAGTATGCACAGGACACTTATAAAGCATAAATGAACTCAGGTGTCCAACCAGACTGGCACGACATTAACAGTACATGAAGTGGGGCATGGTGTCCATTTCTCGTTTCTGTTCCGTGCTTATGACAGACCACCTGTGGATTAACATTTCATTCCCACTACCACCTAAAACCTGTTTATTAGAAACAATTTTGGAAAGCCAGGTGGTCCGCTAAGCATTCCTGGGTGTGAGAGTGTGTGTAGTATGAGACAGCAGACAGACCCCCCTATAAACACAACTTCCTCAGGCTTCTCATTATAATCACCGACAGTAATGGGGTACATATTCACTAACCCTTCACTGTCAGAAATAAATTGCAAAAATTGTACCTATAGGGCTACAGTAGCTTGTCACAAGGGGCAGTACTCTTAAAATGACAAAAGTAGTAATATGTACCCTAAAGGCCCCAATATACATCAAGTGGAATTGAAGAACGAACTGGTGTGATGTAATATCAAACAAAATCAGGCCAAAATGGAGTTCGTTTTAGGAGTTTGAAACAGCTTGCCAAAGCTCTGGCTGGTAAACACCTTGACGATTACATAAGAGATGCGCTGTTTTGACGTGAAAATCTCCAGTGCATTTCTTCTGTTGAGTCCGCTGAGGTCATACAAGAGTAAAGAGAAGAACGAAAAAGATTTTAGTCACGAGTATATTGGGGCCTTTAAGGTACTACTATGAACCCTTTAGGCATAAATAAGGTACAACGTTGTCCCTTTAAGGGTACTTTCCCAGTGACAAGCAGTTGTACCCTTAAAGGTACAATTTTTGCACATCCCAGTGGTTCCAAATGACTCTTACAAGTCCGCACTTTGCAACATGGATTAAAATGCCTAAATAGTCAAACGTCTTGTGGACTTCACTGATGCCTGAATGAAGACCAAGACTGCGAGTCCACATCAAGAGCGTCATTCGGGACAAGGCCTATGACAAACCAGCGGAAAGGAGGATGAGGGGAGAGGGTGTGATTCTTCCATTCTGCTGATAGGAAAATTACCTCAGTCGATCCTGTGAACGCCACTTTGTCTATGCCCATGTGTGAAGCGATCGCGGCTCCCGCGGTTGGCCCGTAGCCTGGCAAAATATTGACGACTCCCGGTGGAAACCCAGCCTGTGAAAACAGTATGAGAGGAAAAAGCTTTAGATGAGAACTGAGCCAAGAACACCACAGGCCGTGGAGGGGGAATCCAGACCCACCCCGACCTCCCTACAGGCTCTGTGGATGAGAGGATGGACAGAACATCAAAAGGAAGAGAAGAAAATGGGCCTCTTAATCCAAGAGAGGCAACAAAGGTCTGGGTGCAGTGGGGAACAAATGATGAAATATCACTCATTTGCATGAATGTGTGTTGATGTTGCTTTTGTATCACTTTGTATCATTTTACTGCTGTATTATGAATATGATGCGGTCAGAATGGATACTATTTTATCCCTTCATTCACAACAATGTTGTAAAATCATTTTGCTGTACCTCTCTGATCAGAGCACCGATGTAGAGGCAGGTGAGAGGGGTCTGCTCAGCAGGTTTCAGGACAACAGTGTTCCCGCAGCTCAGCGCTGGCCCCAATTTCCATGCTGTCATCACCAGGGGGAAGTTCCACTGTACAGACATAGGTCAGGAACTTACTGTGGGAGCTCGTTCAGACAACCTCATATCTTTGTTTCTTGAGAGCATAACTCCTTCACTAATGATTTCAGACTCCTGCACATTCATTTGGAAACTGAACGAGTCACACAATCTTCTGTAACACTTAGGCTCAGTAACTTTGTGCCTGTCATTCTCCTACAATGCTCAATGACCTGCTAGATGGACCAGATTTTAGTGGAATATTTGGTGTGCCTTGCTGGAAAAAAGTAATTTCTCATATCATGAGGTCTAGAGTGGTAAGCACGGTCTTCATTGTCACAATCTTTTTTTTTTTTTTGCTTCCTTGTTTCTAATTCTGTCCTTCAAGTAAACCTCCTACTCACCCCTGCTTCATTATTTCTCAGTTCCTTTTTCTGCCTCACTGGCACAGGCCATAACCTCCTCCTGCCAGTCTTTTTGTAGCCAACCATACAGAGACTAATAAGAACCTCAAACACTTCCAGTAACCTGTGCAATATATTTTAAAGCTACAGTGTTATGGAAATAGCTGAAGATGTTTTCTGCAGTATTGTGATGTACATCTGAGTGAAATGAATTAGGGTGAGGACTTGGTTCAGTCTATCACTTGTTGACTGGACAGATGCAGATCTGAATGCAAGCTTGCAGAAGTTTATAAAAATGGGAAGGGTTAAAGCAGAATAAATGATTGGAGGATTCCATCAAATGTCACCAAAAAGAAGACTGTTGTTTCACTGGAAGATTGAGTTATGACATTTTGACTAAAAATTACAGGGCCAAAAATAATATGCATAGATGGATCATTCACAACAAGATCAATAACATGAATTTAAAAGACAGAATTTCAATTTCATGCCGACTTGAAGGAAAAGAGGGCTTCCCCAAAAACTAAAACCTCAACAAGCCTGTCATCTTCATTAAGGGGTTCAAATACCTCCCGATTAAGGACTGTGGAGATGGCAGAGAAATTTTAAGCAAAGTATATTAAGGAAAATTAGGGCCAAAACACTCACAGGAACGATCTGTCCACAAACTCCAATGGGCTCATGTCTGGTAAGAGTGAAATATTCTCCATCTGTGTGACAGAAAAAACAAAAGGAACCAGAGTATGGTGTCAAATACCCTTCATACTTGTGCTTAGAAAATAAACAAAGTCTATTCAAATGAAATAAAAGGTGAAAATAAATGACATAATACAGAAAAGATCACATTAGCTGACATTTTTACTAACAAGACTTTTCAGTCGAAAGAGCTTAGATAATACCACTGTCTACAAAAGACCCAGCAACATGGAAAAGAGTGTGATCACGCCATCCCTCGCTGTGGAAACATGCAGCTGGCCTAAAGCATCTGGACGAGAGGCATGCCAGTGATTCATCTCACTCGGTGGCCAGGTAAGAGAAGGCCAAAAACACACATTCTGTTTGTTTGTGCTGTAATTCTATTATGGATGAGATTAGAAATGAAATAAAGCGAATCACTGTGAGTTCTCACTATGCAAGTTTGGTTTAGCAACACAACAAAGGCCCAGTGCTGAGCTCCAGCGCTGGCAGGGGGATTTACAGTTCTTTTCCCCTCCATTCTTCATTTTTATTTCTCCTGCTGTGAAAATCGTATAATAACAGCATGCAGCAGCATGGGTGCTTGTTTGTGTAAGATGAGAGAGTGAATATGAGGGAGACATTATCAAATACAAGAGTGACTGGAGTGTGTGAGTTGTATGAAGGACAGTATAGGACAGTATAAGAGTAAATATTAGAGCATGAGCCAATCAGAGAGAAATGGTGACAGACAGCGCTGGAATGCACAATAATTACACGGACGCCCGACGGTGGACACCTCTCTCGATTCCCATGTGGCCCATGTGACAGGGGGGCCCTGAAGGGCGGCTCCACAATCTCCCCCGCACACACATACTTGCACACTAATGGCTGCACCGTGACATCAGAGCTGCAAGTCTACTGCTGTCCCGTAGTCTCCAGGCTCCCTGCCGCGTTCCTTTCCAACAACTAAATTAGCCAGAACAGACCCCCAGACCCCCGTAGTGCCCCCCGGCCCTGTAGCTGTCACTGTGCTCCACTGATGGCAGCACTCCACAGGAGGGCAGCCATTAGCACTCAGATTTATAACTGTTACGGGACCTCGTCTGTTTACCCTCAGTGCACCTTCATAACCCCACAACATCTCCTGCAGGCCTCAGAGAAAACACAGCTCTACCCTGGCTTAGAGCTGTGGTCTCTCTGCTCAAGGTCAAACTTCCTAAAATGTCTAGGATGGGCCTGCACCTAAAGGTCTGGTCTGTGTTCACATAATGACAGTTTCCAGCCCAGTGCGCCTGTACTTCCATGCTCTCCATTGCTGCATTGCTGTGTTACCAGCTTTCATAATCATACAGTTTATATCAGTGACATTATGTGATTTTGGATATATAACGAACCAACCACAATATGTGAAATTTAATAATGAATATACACTTTTTTAATGATTTTGACATAAGTTTTATATGCTCACCAAGGCTGAATTATTTGATCAAAAATACAGTAAAAACAGTTATATTGTAAATTAAATTTTAAGAAGAACGCTTAAGAAATATTTCTTAACATTACCAATGTTGAAAACGGTTACTTAGTATTTTTGTGGAAACTGTGTTAAGATTTATTTTCAGCATTCTTTGATAAATATAAAGTTTAAAAAAACAGGAGTTATTTTAAAAATAAACCTTACTGACCCCAAACTTTTTTAATGGTAGTGCACATATACATTAAAAGGTACACAATTACACGTAGAAAAAATTATGTGTAAGGATTTATACAAAGGGTTTTATTTTATTAATTTTTATAGGAAAAAAAACTTTTTGGCCCCCCCAGCCAATATTATTTACACATAATTTTTAGTATTAAAAGGATATTAATAAAATGATTCATTTAATAAAAATTTTTAAAAATGATATATATATATATATATATATATATATAATTAAATGATTTTTTCAGAAATATCAAATGAAATTTCATATTATTATAGTATTTATATTTTCTATGCTCTATCACACGAAAACTGCCCACTGTTTTCCTTATTTCTGTTTGTGAGCGCCTGTTTACTGTGAGGTGAAACATTGCATCCAAGCTAACCCTTCAAAAATTGCATGCTGCCTAATTCTATGGTGAGGGTTTATGACAGGATGAGCATCAGCTTACCAGTTGGAATCGTGGAACCGTGGATCTTATCTGCCCATCCAGCAAAATATCGAAAAGTTTTAATGGTTCCCTGAAGGTCCACAAAGAAGGAGGAGAGGAAAGGTTTCCCAGTGTCCAGAGACTCCAGGGTCTGGGAGGAGAGAAGGAAGATGAGAGTGTGGGCGTGTGATGAAAAATCACTCATAGAGATTAAACCTGACACCCCCCCCAAGCTGCATTCAGACTAAGCATATCTAAAGCACACACTTACATCTGCTCCCCTAGGAAACATGATACTCATATAGCCATCACCAGAGACCTGCCTTTGTTATCTTTATGTCAGCCAGCCATGATTTCTTATCGACGTGGGATTGATATAAGGAGTGATCGTAACCACATGGGCGACGCATTTCTCTTTCAAAGCAATACGTTCTGACACTTGTTCAGAGCTGGATGGAGAAAATCTGTTGTTTCAGTCCATTTAAGACAAAGTCTAAACTGTAACATGAAAGAGATTTACTCAAAATGGCTACAGCAGGCTTCGGAGAGTTGCACGCACAAAGACAAACATAGCACTTTTGTTTCTGAATCTGTCTCTTTAGACACATCTCCATGAGTGGGAAGTAAACGCAGATGTCCAGGGCGGAAGAACGCCAGAGATAAAAGCACGTCATAGAAAGGAACAATACCTCTCTTTTACGTTTCGCTCTTAACCTAAGTGATCGTTAGCGCCCAAAGGTCATGTGTTTCAACTCGGTGTTGTCATCATCATGGGTTTCAAACATTTGCAGGGCAAATCAAAATTGTTCGAAAAACAACAACTCCTACGGCTCCTGTCATGAAGCTTCAACAAGTCTGAGGCAGACAGACAGGCCCACTCATTAAACACTTGCTTATTGTTGTGAGCGTCTTTGTCTGCTCAGATGGTTCTGTCCTGTTAAATCTGATTCTCACTCACCAAAAACTGGCACTGACTAGAATGAGACTTGGTTTAAGTCTGGCCAGATGACCGCTGGTTCGTGAGTGAAGGTGATAGTTATGAGGGAGTCAAGACTGATGTTAACAAGAGAGCACGGGTCAGGCTTCTTGGTTCTAACTGAGCAGTACTTACAAAACCAGTTATTAAATATATATTTAAAAAATCAAAAAACATGATGCAGGATCTTTAAAACCTGCAAAAAATTTGTTACAGTTAAAGTTGTTGTAAGTGTTTATTTATATATATATATATATATATATATATATATTGGAATATAGTTTCTATCTGATGGATAACACTGGAATAGTCCCGAGTAATAAAACATACATTTGTGACAGCACTACAGTCTGTAAAGAGCAAAAAAAAGAAAATTGGACCTTTGCCAATGGGACAGGACTACCTGTTTGATGATCAATGACAGATAGAGGAGGGTTTAGAAAACCTACTTATAAACAAACATTGTTTTTGAAATTCTTGGTGCATCTTTAGAAATGGTAACATTTTAAATTAAAATGAAGTTTAAAAAAATATTTACATGTATTTATTATCAACTTTGGTTTCACTTTATTTTGATGGTCCCTTTAACACATTCTGTTGACTATAAGTAATATTGCACCTACATGTCTACTAAGTCTCATTAGAGTATTAGTAGAGTATTAGTAGACTGGTAGGGTTAGGGTTAGAATAAGCTGACATGTACTTGCAAAGTTACTTATAGTCAGTAGAATGTCTGTTGGGAGACCATGACCATAAAGAGTTACTTTATTAAGCAAAACAGTTAGTAGACATGTAGGTGCAACATTTCTTATTGTCAACAGAATGTTCAAAAGGGACCATCAAAATAAAGTGTTACCTAAACTTTTTTTTTTAACAAAAAGGTATTTATTCATATATCTTAAAGGGGTGGTTCACTGTTTCTTTTCTAGGCTTGATTGTGTTTATGGGTTGCAGTCTAACATGTGTTAATGCTTAGTTTAAAAAAAAAACGCATTATTTTTCACATAATTTACCTTTATTCCACACCGCTCTGTCCCTTCTCTGAGAAACACATTGGTCATTTCCTTCATTTATGAAGCCCCTCACTCAGAAATAGGCGATGGGCTCTGATAGGTTAGCTAGCCCAGTGTGTTGTGATTGGCTAAACCGCCTCTAGCGTGCGTCTAATCGTCCCGCCCCTCAACATAGCGGCATGTGCTCCGGTTGTATTGTAAACAATGACATCGTCTATATTGCTTATCAATTTGAGCCCGATTGAGACGCAGAGGATATTATTGAAGAGGATCGCGCAGAACCTCGTTTGCATTGAACTTTCAGCTTCGAAACTTTGCAGATATTGTTTATGCTCAAACAGCAACATTACACACTAACTAACGTTAAAAAAGTGACATCGCAATCAACCACCCCTTTAAAGTTCATTTTGTAAATACACTGTTATTCATTGTTAATTCACTGTTGTTCTTAATACATGAACTAATATTAAATTATACAACTTTAAATGTTAAAAATGTATTAGAACATGCAGAAACGAGCATTAACCTAGCTGTTAAAAGTATTGTTCATTATTGTTCATGACACCCAATGCATTAACTAATGTTGATGAATTGAACCTAACTGTAAGTGTTACAGAATATAAATAGCAGAGGTGCACAAACGTTTTACTACGAAGGGCCAAAAATCAAACCTGACTGAGGGTCGTGGGCCAAAGGTAAAGGCTGCATTATATCCAACACTGCATTATACCAAATATTTACATTAAAGTTTACATTTATTAAATAAAATTGATATTCCACATATATTCTCTACATTTCAATGCAAAAACAAAACAAACATGTTACAACAAAAAGTAACAAATTAGGAAAGTTCCCCCTACACACATTTGAGTAGAGGTTTAGTATTTGCATCTGGCGAGAGTGTTGGATGAAGTACTCACAGCAAGGTAGGCTCTGTCTCTTTCCACCAGGTCAGCTAGCTTGAACAACAGCTTCCCACGTTCAGATGCATCCATCTTCCTCCATACTGAACCCAGAGAGAAGGCCGAACGTGCAGCCTGCACGGCTTTGTCCACATCAGCCTAACAGAAAGGCAAAGAGAGGGGACCGAACAGGGAGAGAGAGAGAGAGAGAGAGAGAGAAACAAGAGGAGGAGAGAGAGGAAAGCACTTAATGATAAAACCTTATCCTGTGAACAGGTGTTTGTCCACCTTTGGGACAAATGAAATCCATTCATTCCGGATGAGTCTCAATGATTTCCCCAGTTGCACGTTCAGGGGGTCTTTATTTCCTGTATCCATTCTAGTTTTCCACACTTCCTGCCTGATTTACAGAGTGGAACTACAGCCTCTAGCTTGCTCAACCACATTAGACTGAACTACAGCCCCCTACTTCCCTCCCTCCCTCTCTTTCAATTCTGGATGCTTATTCATGCTGAGTGAAGGCTGAAAGTGAGAAGCACAATAGCGGTGCTGGACGACTAAATGTAGTCCAACAGAGCAATTGTGCCAAACCTGTTTCTGGCAATGGGTTGACCAATTACCAAATACACACTTTGCTGACAAACACACTAGCATGCTAAGAAAGCACACACACACACACACACACACACACACCTTATCTGCTTCCTGGACATCGCAGATCTTCTCCCCTGTAGCCGGGTTGTATGTGCTGAAGACCTTACCGCTCACAGAATCATGCCATTCGTTATTAATAAAAATCTACAGGGAGAGAAGAGAAAGATACTGATTAGTTTTTAAAACAGTGAGGCCCCCTTTCAAAAATGAATGAATGAATAAACATATAAATAAAAAACTTACTGAAAATCAGTGGTGGACAGTAACTACATATATGTTTTTTATTTTACTAAGTTAACTAAAACTGAAAAAAAACTACATATTTACATTTTTTTTTTTTAAGTCAAAAACACAACAAAATTACTAAAACTTAAAATAAAAAAGTAAAAATAAAATCAAAATATTATTCAAAACTATAATAGTATCTCAATGATACTAAAATAACGTATATATATGCTGAAACTACTGAATCAGATCACACTGATTGGAGCGAGTCTCCAGAGTTCAAACCTATGAGCTCTATTCTATATGCCTGTCTTCATTTACTCATGTACATGATTTGGATACTTCGTCCACCACTACTTAAAATTGATGTAACAAAACAAGAAAACTCTTTGCATGAGAATTAAGAATTTTAATGCAGAATGTCAAACACCACCAATAAAATGTGCTTCTTTAGACCCAGGAGGAATTACAGTGAGTTATTTAGTAACTTCATGATGATGCACAGAATTAAAAGAGACAGTCTTTCTCCCCCCGTGTGTTTCATGGTTGTGGTGTGAGAGGAATCTCTGGGAACAGTGTGCTATTGCAGGGCTGCCCAATATCACTCTTTTGGGAGTGATCCAGCAACCAGAGAGAAAGAGGTGGGGGAAAGGGGAAAGGAGAGATAAATCCCTATCAGACACACAAATGCGCACACAGATAGAAGTGCATAGACACACACACAAATGCAGAGATACACACAGACACACATTTCACAACATCACTGCTCGTTTATGAGATCATAAAACTCAGGCGGCACTCTGGCTCTGGTGATGCGTTAAAAGAAGCGGCCCGTAAAACAGCCGCCTCAGATTCCAAAAGATGGATTTTTCAAGCTCGACAAAGAAGAAAAGAAAAATACATCTTTCTCTATGCACACAAATTGCTTTCAAAGCACACAACATACAAATAAGGCAAGTGAGATTTCAATATTCAAGACTTATGCAAACAGATGGTACTTAAGCTGACTTCAACAAACCGGTGAAGGATAAGGTGTTAAAGCAACTGCTGGCTCTGAGCTCAACATTTACTCATACGTAAAAAACATTTACCCTTCATGTCATCTGCATAGAGGAAGACGTCTGGTTCAAAGTGAACCGTGGCCCTGGGCCTCCTCAAACTCTCCAGCATGTTTACTAATGTAAACTTACAGGCTTAAGTACAATTGAATTGGCTGTAAACCAAGAGGCGTGTTTACTTTAGAACAGGTATAAAATGCCAATTGACATGGAGGCAGCTCAAGCTCCCACTCTGTGTCTCCCCTAAAATTGGCATGAATAAATCTCTCCTGGTTAGGGTAGGTATCAGTCTGCACCATGCTGATTCCTCTCCGATACATTTACATCAGACACCCCTCGCTCGCTCCTCACAGGCCTCCTGCATTAAGGGGGCTACCTTTAATCTGACTCTCATTTGGAGCACTTCATAAAAGTGTCAGTGGCCTCGTCGAGCCGAGGGCCTGTTACAAAAACAGAAAGCCCCGTAGAGGAGCGAATTAGTTTTAAAATTTATAGAGGCCACTGCAGCGGAATGCCTTAAATCAGGGGCAGACTGTGACAGGCCAGTGGGCCAGGGAAGAATGCAGACGGTGGGTAGCTTTATGCTCTTCGTAACCCCACACTTACAGCACCCCGGAATAGAGGAGAGGGGAATGCTGGGTGAGCAGCGGACTGGGCCACCATCTAAATCACGACTAGTAAAAGGCGACCATTAGAGGCCATTTGGCCCAGTCTTCCTGAGCTCTGGGGGCTCTCGGACTTTTGTCTCTTCCCATTGAGAAAGTTGATAAAGAGTGACAGGCCGGTGCAGTAAATCAACTCTCAAGCTTTCTTTATACTTTGGCTTTGATTAAAGAAAAGGGATAAGAACGCAAGTGCAAAAGTGCAAAAATTCATATTGATCACCACTTCTTTGCCGTAACCCTGCTGGAGGCTTCAGCAGGGCTGTAAAGAACTTGAGTAATCGTACTTCATTACTACACTTAAGCATTATTTCAGGGAATTTGTACTTTACGATCTAAACGGAATACTTCTCGCTAAAAGATGCTTTTTTCTTGTTAGAAATTTAATTTTAACACCTGAAGTAAACAATACAGTTCTCACAGGTCACAATGACTTAAATCTCCCAACTTTGATGTCCATTTTAGTGAATTAACAAGCCTAAATAAACTCAAATTATGCTAACTTTGTCATGCCAATGATTCCATTTCAGTGTAGACACAGTTATGGTCCATATTTGTCCTTGTGAAGACTTCCTAAAAACATTTCAATTATAGCATTGCTAAATAGGGACAAACCTGACTCAAGTGTAAACATGGTTGACAAAACAGAATATAAACAAATATATTCAATTGTCAAACAGCTATAATATTTGTTGAATTTAAAGTTTAACAATTACTTATGACAGGTTTCAGGATACTGGGTATTATTAGGACATTTTTATTAAAGAGGTGAACTTTAATAAACAAAGTTTTGAACATCACTAAAAAAAAGGTGCAATATGCTCAGCTTAATACAATCCATTACTGGATACAAACCATTACTTAATTTCAATCCATACTTTCTATTGCTTGATTTTGGCAGACAAATTCAAAAGCAAAGAAACATTTAAGGAAAATGGCATTCATTTTAAAATGACATATAATTTTACTTAAGCATTTCTTTCCTGTTGAAATTGAAAAAAATTAAAAAATATATATACTTAATTTTTTTTTAAACTTAAATTCTTATCATTTATCATAAAAAAATATAGTATAGAGTTTGTTTGAGGCACAGCGCTGGAAGAACTTTCAAACTTGAGTTGAGTATAAAAACTAACCGCCAAGCTGTGACAACTAGATTTTGTTTACAACAGCAGGGGGCCAGAAAATGTATTATCTTGTAAACAAAACAGCCACTTGATGCAGTACACAAACCGAAAGAGAAGCACTGCCAGTTCATCCTACACTAACACATTGTACTACAGGCTGTTATGAAATAAGACAGAGTGTGGATAGGTTGAGATTTTACGCACAGGCCACAGCACAAGACAGCTGCAAACATTTAGAATTACTCCATGTTTTTTTAATTCAAGCTGTCAGTCTCACGGTGCTGACTGCGCTCGTCTGCAAAGCTAATTAGATGGTGAGATATGCAGTGCCTATCATAAACAGATTGTGGAAGATAGACCCACGGCGTAGGATGACAGCATCACTACACTCTTAAAAATAAAGGTGCTTCACGATGCCATAGAAGAACCTTTTTGTCTAAATGGTTCCATAAAGAACCTTTAACATCTGAAGAACCTTTCTGTTTCACAAAAGGTTCTTTGTGGCGAAATAAGGTTCTTCAGATTACAAAAAGGTAAGAAAGAGATGGTTCTTTAAAGAACCTTTGACTGAATGGTTCTTTGTGGAACCAAAAATGGTTCTTCTATGGCATCGCTTGAAGAACCTTTTGAAGCACCTTTATTTTTAAGAGTGTAGGGTTATGCTCCTTATTGCTGAGATTCTTTATCACCAGCATTACTTCACACAGGAAAGAGGGTTATCAGCCACAAACGCAAGAGGTTGACTTCGTTCCTCTGGGACAGCTAGAGCTAGAGAAGAGTCTTTTTTGGGGGGTGACTCGAATGACTCTAGCAGTTGTAGAATGCTGATCCGTTTCTCATCTGCCCCAGCAAGCTCTCTGGAGACTTCGCACAACTGCAGGAGGAAGGGATGCCAAAGCTCACGCTACAGCCAGAGAAACATCTGTTTGGCCGCCAGCACCTTCTAATGGCGCAGACACATGAGGGATATTTAATGGCAAACAGTTCTTGGCCATTGTAAATAGATTCTCTTTTCTATGTGTGCTTTATCTGTGTTTTCATGGAACAGGCCAGGATTCCAGAGCCAGACGGATCCTAACAGGGCACCTGCAGCCTGGGTCTCAGTCTGCACAGGAAGCTTCATATCCTTTCTAGAGCAGCTCACTTTTTACTCTGTAACTGGACACACTTCAAGATGTTGAGAATTACTGATGTTACAGGAGAAAAGGGAGCTTAAAACATGGAAGTGAGACTGCATGTCATGTTCTCACTCTCTCTTTTCTGTAACATAATTCATTGCAATTACCACAACTGAGATGTCAAATTGTGCAACATATGTTACTCTGCAGTGCAGGTTGACAGAGACACCCCTACCGTCAATCTAAGTTAGCATTACATACTAAAAGTGTAAAAATCTTAGTCTAAAGTGATTAAACTTTTCAATAAGGTTCAACTTATTAACATTAGTTAATGTAGATATCATGAACTAACAATTAACAATATTTAGTACTTATAAAACTTGGTTAATGTTAATTTTTACATTTACAATTTTAAAATGTCTTAAGAGTTTAAATGAACAATAGTTACAAATGTATTTTGAACAATGAACAATAGCAAATGTATTATATTTATTTAGTATGAATGTATTATATTTATGTAGTTATGATTTAGAATTATGAATACCATATTATAGATTATTAAAGATGAATTGTCATATATTATCTAGATTAATAAATGCTGTTAAAAAAATGAACTGTTCAACCTCAAGTCCTGTCTTCTTTTAACATGAGGGAGAGTAATGAGGATGATGACAGTATTTGCGTATTTCTGTGAACTATTCCTTTAACAAATTGAACCATAAAGTGTTACCTCTTAAGTTCTGTTAATCTTTTAACAACAAAAAATAATAATAAATTGTTATATATTTGTTTAGCATATCTGTGCTTAAATTTAGAAAAAGTAGCTAGAACAAACATGCTATTGCTAATAATACAAAGACAAATCAAGCTTCTTTTTTTTTCCTGAGGGAGAAAAACAGTGCAAAGGCCAAAGATAATCAATGAGGAAGATGTGAAGAAAAGATCAAGAGTAAGAAAGGGGGAAAATTATAAGTCAAAGCAAAAGAGGGTGAGAGAAAGAGAGTCCTCGCTGTGCTGCTTACAATAAATCAAGCTTCTTAGTGTATGCTCTACTTTGGCCGCTGTTTGATGTGAAGAAATGGTGGGTTTTGAAGTGAAAAACTCCAGAGGTATGGGACAGACTCTCGTAAGTCAGGGCCACTGACCCTAACAGTGAGACACAGCCATATATTACACCCTGCTGGACAGCTTCTAGAGCAGAAACCCCCCCTGACTCCCATCTGTACTATCTCATGCACTGACGGATTGATGGGGCCTACCTCATTCACTCAAGCTGTCTCAAAGATTAGCTTACAAAGGTCCTCACTTCAGCGCACACTACTGTCCTGGCTGGACGCTTAAGCCCTTATAATATAAAGACATGTCCAACAAATGGCTATCAAGTGTCTTTTTCTCCATGAAGCTCTCAGTATAGAGAAACATACACATGCACAGACAAATACAGAAATTCTGTCAACATTTACTCCCTCCTACTTTAACAAGATATTTGGAAAAATCAAGATATTTTGGACCACACTAACTTTCATTGTATGGACAAAAAAATCTTTTATCTTTATCTATTGTGAAAACATTCTTCAAAATATCTTCTTTTGTGTTCCACAGAAAAAAGAATGTCATACAGGTTTGGAACGACATAAAGGTGAGTAAATGATGACAGATTTTTCATTTTTGAGTCAATTATTTCTTGAACAACTAAACCACATTCATTAGAAAACCCAGAATTCTATGCAAAGATTATCTATACATAAATATTTATTGAATATCATCGATAAATTCCACCTACTGCAAACCACATCTATTCCAAATGTGCAATTATCAGTTGCATGGCACAGGGGAAAGCGAGAGAGTAATATCCTGTCTCCTGTTTCCTATCTTCTTCCAGGTTTTAATCTCAAGAGTCTGCTTCACTTATGTGTTATAACTGAATGGAGTGAGCAAATCATCACCCTGCCTGCTGGAATCCAACACCTCTCTTTCAAAAAGACTCCCGGGTCCTAATCAATTACACTGATTCACACTATCAACATACTTTCCTTTCTTTTTCTCTTTTCCATCCGAAGAGAAAAAAAGAAGAGAAAACATCCATAACCAGCCATCACCGGAGACAAATTTATGGCTTCCTTAGTGCCATTATCAGGCCAGTGGGCCGGCATACAGAAAAAGAGAGAAAGAGAACTCCTTCAGCAGACTAGCTCTCCTGTGACCAGTCAAACACACACTCTTTATACGCTGTGTGGAGTCAAGAGGAGATTCTGTAAGACTGTAAAGTGTACTGAGCTCAGGTGTCTGCACCAAACAACAGGACTTTGAGAAATATCGGCATGATAAGCGGAAGCTCAGTCGTAAATGTTGAATGGCAGGGCAGATAAGTTCCCTATCAGTGTGTTAATCTCAAGTCTGTAACAAATGCAGGTGTAGTGACTGTCACATAATAAGCACAAATGTAATTGGTGGCATGAAAAGTTTACTGGGGAGCACAAAGTCCACCTTGTAGCAATTTTACTGTCATTTCACTGTACAAGGAACAATCCTAACTATTCAGATTATTTGGATTTAGCATGTGAACAAATAAAAAACTAAATAAAAATTGCAGCACTCATTATATTGAGTGCTAATCTTATAAATAAGGCTTTCAGTAAATAATTAAAAAAAATATTCAAAATATAACTATAATAGAAACGTTTTGCATGATATATTTATTATTATAATAAAAAGTAATAATAAATAAATACTAAATATTATGACTGTGTCTGATAACAAGACACTCACATACAACAAACCATTAATTGCTGTAAAATATGGTTTGTAATGATTGTTGTATTACCTAACTGAATAACTTGCCACTACCTCTCCCTTTCACTGCTTGATATTAATTATTTTACTTTAAATGCCAGACTGGATGTGATTCAGTATTTACATTAGTAGTTGACAGTGATAGATGTTAAGTACACCCATTAATGACTCAGCGTCTCTGGCATAAAGTACTGCTCATTAACAGCACAGAAAACAACTTAAGAAGTCTCCATGGAGTTTCGCTGAAATGAGTTAACCTCAGACCTACACAAATAATAAAAACTTGGCTCTGCATTGACTACTTTTGAAAGAATAGTATTGATTGGGCATATTTGGACTGTTACATCAGAGGCTGTGCTGCGGCTGCACCAGGCACACAAAATCAAAAGTGAGAGGGGGTGGGAATAGAGAGAAAGAGACCAAGAGAAAGAGAGAAAGAGGGAGATGGAAAAGGGTGTGAGGGGAGTTCACATCACTAATGCCCAAACTGAAACCCCCCACACACCCATACAACCAGTACACAAATTCCCAAGGATGAATCCTTCTCACACTCCCATGTGTTTCTGAAAGCAGGTTTGCAATGAGAGCAGGAGACGCAGCAGGGTGTGTATGTCACAGGTGTCTCCAGCTCTTGCTCTGGCTGAAATTTACTCTCTTTACCACAGTGATAATTGGCCTGCACTGCACTTTGACTTTATTCTCTCACCTCACAGCAATAAAATTATTACTGTCAAAACAGGCATCATTTAAGATGACCTTACCAACAAAACAAGAGAGATTATATTTTATAATCATTTTATGGAATGATTCAGCACTTCTTTCTCATTTTCAGAGAGATTAATATAAGATGACTATTGAAATCATATAATAGCATACTTTGCCTTCTTGTCATTATAATAGGCTATACTTGTTACCAACCCTGCAATTTTAGAATTGTAGAAAGTTTCTGTTTTAAATCTTCTGGGTTGTATCCCATAACACTTGCATTTAAAACAAGTGTCCATAAATTTCAAACACATGATCCGGCTTGCGGTAAAGTAGTTGCGTTGTGATCACAATAATGAACATATGGCGTGTTGGTGATTTATTTTTTTTTTTGTCCACAACATAAAGAAAGTATGAATCATTTAGAAACTAAGCTGAACTATAGACTGTACCACATAATTCAAAGGAGAGAGAGGCGGATCTCTAACGCGCACCGAAATGCCTATAGTGTAAAGTAAAGTCGTAAATAATGACAACCAGTTCAGTTCAAGGCAAAACTTCTTAACCGGTTTAAATAAGATTATTAAAGCTCTATGGACTCACAATTGTCACTATCAAGATAGAGAAAACTTTCATGATCGATGCCCCTCTCTATTATATAGCCTAACAGGCAGCCTATCTAGACGTTCACACTCTTTATATAGACACAAATATTTGTTTGTTTATTAGATTTGAATAAAACGGAGAATCGATAGGCTATATTGCAAACAGCACACAATTATAGCCTACTGCGTACCTAAAGAATACTCCATACAGCCAAAACTTGCTACTTGTTACCAAATGCATATGCAGAGCCTCATGATCAAGTCATCATCTACCGTAGGCTACTTATGAGCCGCAATATCTTAAGATCAATACTGGTGAGCTACATTCAGTTTAAATGTATAGGTACGAGCCTGTTATCAATGCCACGGTAGCAACACGTTGCGCTTCTTTACCAGTGATCTGTTTGCGCGCAGTCACAACAGATCGAACGTGTCATCTAATCGAAGCTTGCATTTCCAGTTTAAGGAATTTAATGATTCTTGAAAAATGTTGTAAAAAGTCTCACGAACCTTAGTGTACTTGATTTCAGGATTGGGTACCGGTGAGGGCACCAGATGAAGAGATGCCATGAGCGCAGCCGGGTCGTTCTTCACCTCTCCTGGCAGTTCAACTTTACTGGAGGTCATTGCGTTTCTTGAAGATGCCGGTTGGGTTTTTTTCTGCCGATTTGCGATTACTACTTTGGAATCCTTCCTGTGTTTATAACCAGGTGTCAGCCCTGGTCCATTTTTATTGGGCAGAGAATAGGGCCGTCCTCCCAATATAATTAAAATGGAGCATTTACATAAACTACTCTCTCTCCCTTTCTGACCATACTGAGTGAGAGAGATACCGCCCAATGTCAAGACAACAGTATGTAGGACTATCCGGATTTATCAGGAAGAAATTCAGCTGACAGGCAGTAGTAAACTGCACTGTAAAAATGTTTTGTCAGGTAACCTGAAAACGTGTTTCATGTGGATCTAAATGATCAGCTGTAAGTATTAGCCTATTTAACAACTGAATCTTAACTCGTTTTTAAGGTGAAGATCTGGTTTAAAAAAATAATGTGATAACATTTAATATGACCTTATTAAAGACACATTTCAGGTGTTTTACACGAAAAACAATGTTCAAAATTATTCTATAAGATGTTTTCCAATAACCAATTTTTAACAAACCACGATTTTTTAAAGTCATAAACATAGATAAGTTTTAAAGGTTGTTCAAAGTAATATATTTCCCATGGTCTATGTAAACGGTAGGTATAACACACTAGTCTGGTGGTCTAAAATTGTACAGTAGCCTATACCACTAAACTAGGCTATCAATAACGTGTATTTTGCAGACCGACCGTTTGCTGGCTGAAATTAACAATAAAAACAGACTGCAGTATTAAAAAATAAAGGTTAGGTAGGGTTTCTCGCCATTGGGGTGCTCAAACTGTCACGTAAACGTTAAAGTTTTCTTTGGCAAAGCCCGTTTGCCCCTTTCATTCTCACAGATTCTCCTGTAACATCTATATCCCGTCAGAATGTTATTCGACTATCTACATCAAGCGATCACAGGTTATTTCCTCGTCGTGCCTCCTGCAGCGCCGGGACTCAGTTAGCATTTGCCTCAGAATGTCCAATAAACATTATAGACCATCTAAAGGGGCTTTTGAACATCTCAAAGAGGTTGTGGTTTAAAGAATTAGCCAACACAGACATTCACACTTCCACTGTGTAACTGGTGAATAAGGAAGCTTCAAAACTCTGGATCGCGGGCAAAAACATCTACGATTATGTCGCAGATAAATAAAACAACTAATCGCCTTCACACTTCCACGGAGGAGCGTTGGAAGCGTTTACCATAACTTGCATGTAGTTGGAAACATCACGAATTTATGTCAAATCTTAAGCCTAATTGTTTATGCAACCATAATAATGTTAACCTCTCAGTCCTGTCATAAAATATGTTGTTGTTCACACTGTATCCTGCTATTAAAGAAATAAACATATGTCTCAATGAATGAATTAATATTAAACAATTCATTTGGGAAAATACGTAGGCCAACATAGAAAACTGACGTTAGTGAACTGTCTGAATGGACTTGCACACATTTAGGTGTTCTGTACGATGACCTGCAAAGGCTTGCAGTCCAAAAAGTTTTATGGCATGTACATTTAAATTGGCTACATAGATAGGCCTACTATAACTTAAACATTTTTTTAATGGGCAGGCTGCGTGATAGCAGTTATCATGTGTGACATGCTAAGGGCTGAGGGGCTGTTAAGATGATGAAGGGGACGGGGTGTTATAATTTGTTAGAACCCACTGGGGTGCTTTTTCTCCATCAGCACATCCCCCTCATTTCACAGCGCTGACAGTGTCTGCCTCACATCAAAGACGACACCCCAGAACAAGTGACAGTGATTAATGCAAACAAAACATACCGCTACTACCATCCTATCGTTTCTTATTTTCACAGCCTGTACCTGCAGTCACGGGACGCCACCGTCAAATTCTGGCCATCTTTGGTTTTTACTTTGTCGAATAGCTCTACCCGGTGGACAAATATACGTATTACAAGTTGAAGTTGTGCTGCAATGTGCCTCTCCGAATGAGAACTGGAAATAAAACTCAAAAATAAGAAATCCCAATGATCAGCAAACAAGCAAACTAAACATATAAAATATGTTGTATTTAGAGAATAAATAAACCAAGACCTTGTGTTTAATTGTTGTTTTGCTTGTGCATTGTGCCAGGGGCGTGTCCAGGATTTTATACTTAGGGTGGCAAAGAGGGGGCAAGAGCAGAATGAGGGATGGCAACTATAGATCAGTGTTTGTACTCCCCATATATTCTGTATATTCAACACCAGTGTTGGGGAGTAACTAATTACATGTAACGGAATTACGTAATTTAATTACAAAATAAATGTAAATGCAATCTGTTACAGTTACTGAGAAAAAAAGTGTAATTAAATTAGCCTACAGTTACTTATGAAAATGTTAACAATTACAAAGGGGGTTTTCACACAAACACGCACATACAGATTTGATTCATTTATTTCTTAATTGCAGTGACTGCTCTAAAATACGAAGCACCAATGTTTCAGGAGTTTAGAACACAGAATAAGCTGCATTCTTATTCGATAACTGTTTAAGTTCCTAGTTGGGTTTATGCATATGCTTTAAGATTAACTGATTTTTTCCCCCAAGGCATTGTTAGATGCCAGTGTTTCCTGTCATAGCTGTGAAAATATTTTATTTTAAAAACAGTATCATAGCTATCAAACTATTTCTTGTTATGATTTTAAACCTGTATTTAACCAGAATCCGATTGATCTCAAAGTAAAAAAGGTGCTTAAGTCTGATTTTGTAGTGGCTGTGCTTTAAAATTAAATGATTATAATCTTAATTCAAGTGATGCAGGCTTTTGAAAGTCTGCCAATAATCAGTGTTGAGTTCTACTGTAAGATTATTAACCCTGCCTGCTTTAAATGTTTCAAAATGATTAACAGTAGAAAATATT